AGTACCGAATTATCTAGACACATGAGTTTATCAATAATAATCCATGCTTAACAACAAATTTGTTAGAGATACGCCAGTACATCTCAGTCGCTTTCACTTTCAGCATTTGTGTCACTGGACACGTAGTCGGTGTCATAATGTGTAGATTTTGTGGTTTCTGTGTGACAAATGACATCATCACTAAATACCCCAGCTTAGTGACTTCTTCGATGGAGTGGTGGCCACGTGTGCTCGAGAAGCCCCTCCCCCCCTCCTCCAGCGTGGCGATGAGAACTGGCGCAAGCTGCAGTGCTGTCTGCGGCGCCCGCTTCTTCTTCTCCCTCATAAGAAGCGCTCTTTGCAGATCGGAAGGGCTCTGTGCCCACCGAAATAGCCTCTACCGATGCGAGGGAGCCTGCTTCGTAGCAGCGGCAAGTAGAGACGACATGTTGGGCTCCATCCTTGAGTTCCTACCAGGCGTGTCACTTAGCGTCCTCCTTCCCTAGCAGAAACTGCAGGGCAAAGTCAGATCGGCTAGCCTAAGCGACTTCCTGGCGGCGTTTCAAGGACTGAGGAAAAGTCCTAAGGAAAGTTTTACCTCTGTTATAACATAGAATTGTCAGTTTGATAAAATATGTTCAGAGGCAGGGAGGCTGTTGAAGTAGCCTCTAAACAGTTTGATTACCTTGACCTAGTCACTCCAAAATATTATAATGAGATTTAGGAGGTCCTGTTTAAGTCGGTATGACTGGCTTAAACTATACAGACACTAATGGCTGGTGTACAGCTATTGGTGGCTTCCTAATACTAATAAAGTACTCACTTCGTCTTTTGACGCCTACAAGTAACGTCTTCTTCCTCTCCCTACTTCTTCTCGACCTGTCATTTACGAGTTATAAAAGTGAACGGTCTCAAAAGCGTCGGCGGTCTTGTCGTTGCATTACCACCGGTGCAGATGTTTGATCGCCGGCCACGATCTGCAAGCGTGATCACCATTCACGAGTGCAAAATCGGTGTTGTTGATGCGTCGTCTGTGTTTCCGCGTTCCGTGTACATGCGGTTGCGCTTGGGGCCATACATGGACTCCACAATGTGAGGAGCGCACTGAAATGGAGAGGGTCATTACACATTTGACAGGAAGCTGCGGATTTCTCGAAGGCTTTTCAAAAGACTCGACTGGCGAAGTCGAAGCTCAAGCAATCGCCGACGTGGGATGACAAGTTGTCATTGACAACACTGCAGCGTGAGTGCACTTGGAGCGCGTAAAACAATGGCGACAGTCCGGCTAGCTGGTACTGCTAGGCGGGGTCAACTTCAGGTTTCGATATGCCGTGATTGAAAAAAATAGCTACTATCAGAATACTTTTAATTATTCTAGTAGATTTTGTAGTTTTCTACGGTGACTCATATTGCGTCTTAAATAGTCCTTATAGTACTTGCTGCAAAAAAGATGATGTTTTAAGCTTCGTAGTAATTTAATAATAGTTTTACTTTCAAGATTCTAAATTTCTTTTTCTCATATTTTGCTTGCAATCTTTTGTATTACTCTTTCACATAAATTTATAAATTAGCGCTTGAAAATTTGCACAATTTTTTTATGACCAATATTAATTTGTAGACACTTTAGTATTTTATTTGCGTTACCCAAAAGATGCACAATTTATTACTAATATTAATTATCTAAACCTTTTGAAATGACTTAGTGATCCCACCCCACACAACATCACTCCACCACCGGAAAAAAAGAATCGTACTCCTTTGTATTTGCACGCATAGTGCGTGACCCAAAGAGATTGTGCGCAATTTCCAACACGATATGTAGCGCGTTTGCGATTGAATTAGCGCGGAGGCACGTGGTTACGCAAGAGCACGAAACACAGAGGAACACCGAGCCAGACTATGTATACGATGGAATACAATGAACAGCACAACGCACGGAAGGCCGCGGACGATAAAGGGGACTGAACAAATGCAGACCACAAAATTTTATGCAAAGCACGAGCCACGGAGGCAAACTCGCAGCCATGAAAAACACGGAAGGACATGAAATGAAGATGGCGGATGAGGGCTTAAATAATGACACCCCACATGCGAAGAAGCAGGCGCCACGGAAGAGCACACACGCTTGAAGCCACTGAAGAGCACGTAGAGGGAAATAAAAGTAATTATTCTCTACCACCGCAGTAGAGCAACGGAGCACGGTCGACGAACCAAGCATGAAGCCGAAGGATACCATAAACGGAAGATCACTGATCTTTGGATCACGATATTCGGGAGAACCGGATCTCACCAAGTCCCACAGCACGATACTACGGTAGCTAGCGATCGCACGGACGACAGACCAACCGCGACACCACAAGATAGCACGATAGCATGGAATGTGTCACTAAACCATGGGAGAACGCAACCGCGGAGCGATAAACGAGAAATCACCGAGCAATACCCATGTAGAACCGGGGCTCCTCAAGCCACGGAGGACGATACTACATTAGAGCACGATTGCACATACGGCAGACCAGCCACGGGACTACGAAGAGCACACTAGCATGAACGGTGGTCCAAACACTAAACCAAGGAAACCGAAGCAACCACAGGGACTATATACGGGAGATTACCGAGCCACAGAGGACAGTAGTACATTATAACTCGATTGCACGGACGGCGGACCAGCCTCGAAATACACAGGGGGCGTTTAAGGTGACCACAATTGCACACCATGGAGTACGATGCCATCATAGAACACGATAAAGCGGGCAACGCAGATGCACTACGTGAGCACAATACCATAGACAGCATAACCACACCGCGCTTGCACAAAAGCGTGATAACGCGGTCGATGGAACCTAACCAAGAGATCACAATACACGAGCGACGGTACAACACGACTGCGTGAACCCACCAAACCACGGAATAGCACCCTTCGACTAATGTACCGGCGATGGGAGGCCAACGACCCGCAAGACTATGTACCACGAAACGAAACCGGTGCAACCCACGAAAGCATTCGAGAACACGGAATAGTTATCAGCCACGAAAGAGGCCGTACTAAAGAGCATGAACCCAAAAGAGAAGGCGCATAACCACTGAGTAACATGGATCACAGGTGAGCAGGGAGCCACGATGCCAGGAAGAATACGGAAGAACGCGGGTCATTAACATCCAACCTGTAGTACGGGGTAACGGAAGCGTACCAAGCCACAATATTACCAGGTCCACATGAGACTACAGAAAGGTAAGCGGTTAAGTAAACGAAGCCACGACGTTTGGAATGAGCGAGTACTACGAAGCACGCGATACCGTGAAGCACTAACATCTGCGGCCTCCTCATCTCCAGCAAACCATCCCACTCCGCCGCGTAGCGGCGGCGGCCGGCTAGTCCTAGACAAGGCTAGCGCGGTGTCTGTTCGTCCGTCACACGTAGCGCTCAGATTTTTTTAGCTTTCTCATTGGCTGCAAGCGAAGCGAAGGCGGCTCCAATTATTTAAAACTGGATTATGTAGCTTACATCAGTAAATTAAGGTGGTTCACATTGTTCACATGGAGATTTGCACAAGGCTATCCATGATCCGAACGCGAAATCGTTTTAATACTACTGGTATTTTCAATTTATAAATGCATGATGGTTTTTAATATTCGAGTGCATAGCTGAGCTACTTATTCTCAAATGTAATACATGTAGCCCATAAAGACGCCTCCAATGCTGCAAGATGCTTAGTAGGAATGCGTGTTTCCGAGGACATATTATTAATATACGTAATACTCTGTACTTCATAGTTTCTGCTAGCTACAATGACTAAAAATAAACTTCAACTCTTTTGTTGTAGAAATTTTAATAATTATCTGAGTGTGAGGTAACTGAGTACATGTATTAATACAACTGAAGCTGGCCGTAGGAACAACGCTGAGCTAATAAATGTTGTCACTTGTACTATAAAGATAGATGGTTTTAGATTGAGCAAAAATAACTCATATGTGGTACTGCTGTAGAGTCAAAGCGTAGCGGAGGCGGAAAGACATAAGAAAAAATCTTAACCTAAACTACCGCCGCGTAGCGGCGGCGCTCGGCTAGTTCTTTGGGTATGAATTACAGTATATGTGATTTTGAAGGTACCGCTTTTTTAAAAGCGATAACGCGGATCTTTAAAGATCAAGACGTGAGAGTGATAAAGTAGGCAGCTTAAGTGCTACTAAGAACATGTATTATTAAGCGAGATTCGACAACACGGGGTTGAGTCTCTAGTGTCACCTCACTTAATTCATGAATTAAATGTTACTCGGTGGCAATCCGAATTAAAAGTGCACGCAGAGTCATCCGTTTTATTCAATCCGATCTCCGAGCGCATCTTAAACGTGAAAATACTCATAACACACAGTGTTGTCTCAACACCCGAAAAAGTCTTCTAGCACCTGTACATAAAAAAGAAGATGCACTGGGCAGTGTGACAAGTTTCGTGTGAGCCACATCAACAAATACGCCAGCCTCCCTGCGAGGCAGGCACACAATCTGCAAGCATACATAATGAAGGGATGGCGTACCGGTAAGGGCTTTACCGTCGCGCTCGACCGGAGGGAGGGTGCCTCGCCACGCTGTCAAGCACATGGAAGAAAAGGAAAAGACGCATGCCATGACGGTGCCACCGGAGAAGGCTGCAGGAAGAAAGGGGGGCTTATGAGGACGAAGAGTGAACGGTGGGGTTTGTCTGCAGTATGCTGGATCAGTGCTATATCAGGAAGGGAGGTTCTGGGTGAAACTGCAGGGCGAATGCCACTTCGCTGCCAATCGAAGCCAGCCAGAAGGACCTGCCTCGTTGGTGGTGCTGAGTATAAGCTGGGCGGCATGCGTCATGACACTGCTGCATGCAAGTTGGAAGTGGAGAGGCTACAAACGGGGACTGGGGAGCCAGACGCCCCCAGTCAGGCTCAAGCCCACAGCTTTGTCAAGCCGGACGTCCACTGGAAGAAGAAGGGTATCGGGAATAATTGCGTACTAACCAAGATAAGCCCACCAGTATAAATCAACGATGGGAGATGCGTGGCGCCGCACAGATCTCCGCAAGCAAACGATGTCGTACGGATAATGTGCATGATATCAAGTATTAGTGATATGGAATAATGAGCAGTGCTATAGCAGTTAGCAATAACTAATACTTGTCAAGCGCGTGTCTGTTTGCTGTAGGTCGTCCAGCGAGTATGATTTCTCGCTGGTCCACGGTAGTAAAGCGTCTGCCGCTCATCACTGTCTGCAATACCTCGGAGCCGGAGGCCATAGCCCAATAAATGCAATGGGCATACTTGAAGAAGTAGTTGCACGGACACATGCGCAGGTTCAGATCAACAGCCCATTCGGTTGGTGGCATATCCTTCACCTCCATTCTAGCAGTATGGACGCCTTCCTGTGCTGATACTAACAGTTTCTCTTGTGACTTGCCAACTTGTATTTCATAGACACGAGGGCAGAGCACCGACACCACACAGATAGCTCCTTCAGAGGTGGCAGTGGTTCGTCAGTCAAGAATGCAATCGAGATCCGAGCTGGCGCATATTCATATACGTGTCCAGCGCGCTCCAGCTCACGTGTGCGAGTCTTTTGCTTGGATTGGGCTACCGGCAGCTGACGGAACGGCGTCGTCATGATAGATTCAACAGCACAGCAAGCTAATAGCGGGGTGAGAAGCGCTTTAACCTTCTACCTCCGACGGCGAGTATAGTCTCACTTCAAAACTTTGTTGAACTGCTCACATGGATTGTTTGTTTTAGCAAAGCCACTAGGGGTCCAGTAGCACTGCCAACGGGTTGCATGCCCTGTCACCCAGATCTTATTGAAGTATGAACGCAAAATGTGTCAAGAGTGGGGTATCGCTCCACGTCTCCAGCGTAGCGATGCGGACACGGTCATACTCTTTTTGGGTTCGTGTGAAGTGCATATCAAATACGTCTCGCATGACGGTTTCGCTTAGCGCTGATGGTAGCTTTTGGATGTGTTGGTATACTTTTGCGACAACGCGATACCAGCACATGAGATGCACGTACGCATTATCCATGTGAAACACTTGCGCGACTGCGGAGAACATTGCAGCTTCTGCGTCCGTCATTTTGTATCTTTTTTGTAGCTGCGTACCCATCACTTGTAGAAAATTTGACGAAGAGAAACCATCATTGTGACGTACACTTCTTCCGTCCGCTGGGAGACCACAAACAGAGCCAGCAAATGAAACAATCGAAGTCGGTCGGAAATGTCCACAGCCACTACGGCGTAATGCGACGAATTCGATTTAAACGTAGCGTCTACATGTAGCACGAAAGTGCTGGGGTTGCGAGCGGCTCGTCTAACAAGAGACTTTGACGTCACTCCGACGATGAACGGATCGTCATCTGTTCCCCGGCCGACATGGGGTACACCTAAATTCGTTTACCGCCCAGAAAATGTAAATCCCACACTGTCCTCTTCCTCACCAGTGTAGACTGAGTTGCGCACTTTATCTTCGATGAGATCGTGGTAGTCATTGAAGCTGAGGTGGTGTTTCTTGTAGTTTCCCACAAAGCGCTGGACTGTGGCTAATGCCGGCAGCCGCTTTTCATCCAGGTCGAAGCGGCGCATCATTCCATTGCGGATACGGGAGAGATTAAGCCTTTGAACCGCTAACGCTGGAGCGAAGGCTTTCATAGGCTCAGTTAGTCGAGGCTTCCGAGCGGGGCGCGCCTGCGTTACGTGCGATTCAACCTCGGCAAGAACATGATATTTAGTGCTTCACTCGTCTCTAGCTTGCCGCTTCAAGGGCACTTGGTGTAGGGAGATGCAGCCTTGCACGCTGAGGAGTGGCAGGTAAGAAGCTGTGACATCTTGTGGCGCGGCATGATCTCAGCGCAGAGATTGCAAGGTCGAACGTTACTCTTGGTGATTTTGTAGGTGACAAACGACTGCACCAAAATTTCAGCATCGTGCTTGAGTAGGTTGTTGACAAGGTTAGCCACTGCAGCTTCGGTGTCATGGTCAGGAGTAGCTAGGGGCACTTGGTCGAGGTAGAAAATTGAGAAGTGATGCGTATAGCTAAGAAAAGGGTAATCGTACATATATATTTGGCTTGAAAATTTTTGTATGAGAGGACCGGATTGGTGCAAAGTCACTGTGGTGCCCTTAACAACAATACGAGTGGTTCTGGGCCAGTCATTTGTGTCGTAGAGAAAAATGCGGTACTTCACACAACAATTAGTGTGACACGGCATGTACACTCCTGGACACAATTATACGGCCACCTCGTCGAGTGCCTCAATTTTTATTTTTTGACGGTGCGGTCGGTTTTCACACAAGCTGCAAACCATGCTTCAAAATAGCAAAGATGTGCTAACACTCGCGTTTTGCACTTTATAGGGAGGCTCACTTACAAAAAAGAGATTTGTCAAGCTGGACACAACTTACGGCCACCTTCAGCACAATGCAAAAACCTTTATAAAATAAAACATGTGCCATTTTGGCTGACAAGAAATTTGTATGGGCTGAGTTTTTGTATGCGATTAAATGGACACTATGGATCGAAAGCTCAAAGTACACCTTTGCCAATCCAAACTGGTGGCAGTGTAAACCAAAACGGAGTGAAGTAACCGAAGTAGCATCTAAATTTGAGGAATAATTTTACAAAATTAGGTTTTAGAGCAATATAGATTTAGTGCTGTACAAACTGGCAAGAACACGAGTGACACATCCAGCAATACGAACTACGGGCGCGCTGCGGAATGGGATACACACAAAGATGTAAGGGGGGCGTGAAAGCTGCGTATGGGCGCCAGAACAGGAGAGTGTGGGTGCACACAGTGACCTCTCAGCTTGTACAGCCTGCATACAGGGACCAAGACGGCCAGCAACCCGATTAGACAGAGTACAGGGCTTTAAGCTGCGCTTGCAGATGTCAACCAGCCGTGGGGAATGGAAGGAGAGGGGTTGCAGCTCTGAGTTTGCGTCTCAAGAACGGCGCTCAGCGATTGACGTGCCATCAAGCGCTCGTGTTGGGGCTGCTTGCCTGGACGGTCAGCGTTAAGAAGAGCTCGTACACTTCTAACGGCGTCCGGTGCGGAGCGCTCGTGGCTATAGCCAATGCACTAATGTAATGTACGTGGTGCATGTGCAGTACTGTACTGTAGAAGATAAGATACTCTTATCGAGGCGACCATCGAACAAGATATATTCATCATTTTGCTTTACACTAAATTCGCATTGGTCTGGATTAATTTTGGGGATTTCTAATTTTTTAAAAAATAAACTTCTAAATAAGGGACACTCCGTTTTGGTTTACACTACCACCAGTTTGGATTGGCAAAAGTGTAGTTGCATGGGGGTGTACACAATAGTATTATATGTAGCGTGTTAAAATCAATATCGATCAAGCAAAGGTGCAAGTGCAACACGTTACATACAGTACACTCCCATGCAACTACTTTAAGCTTTCGATCCATAGTGTCCATTTAATCGCATACAAAAACTCAGCCCATACAAATTTCTAGTCAGCCAAAATGGCACATGTTTTATTTTATAAAGGTTTTTGCATTGTGCTGAAGGTGGCCGTAAGTTGTGTCCAGCTTGACAAATCTCGTTTTTGTAAGTGAGCCTCCCTATAAAGTGCAAAAACGAGAGCGTTAGCACATCTTTGCTTTTTTTACATGTTTTGCAACTTGTGTGAAAACCGCACCGTCAAATAATAAAAATTGACTGAGTTATGGGCGACGAGGTGGCCGTATAATTGTGTCCAGGAGAGGAATTTCCATAATCCAGTACTAATGTACTGGATTCTGAAAATCGGCGAGCTAATTCAGAATTTTGAATAGAAGAACAGTCCAGCCCGGTAAGTTCGCGCCTCGTAAAAATCCAGTACACTGTTTAAGTACGCACACCTGACAGCAAATATTGCAGCATCTTATGAGCGAAGTATTTTAATTATATACTCGACAGGTAATGAGATGAAGCATGTGTCCAGTATTCAACTAAAAGTGTCCTGATAAGAAACCTGACCAATTTTTAAAATAGGCATAGAATGAAACTTGGACACAGTCTCATATGCGATTGTGTCCTGGAAAATATTTTTTCAATGATAAAATTTAAAAGTAATTTTGCCAATACAATTTATTTATAGTCACCTCCTTTAAGAAAAAACAGTACAGTAGTCTGTCCGACGTCATTACCAAAATGACACGACAGGGGGCGGAGGGCACATACCAAAGCTCACATAAAACACTTTAATACAAAAATAACCAACAGCCATGTGCAAGTTAATTCTGCGAATTAACATGGGATCCTACCAAAAACCTTCCGTGGAAGCTCAAAGTCGACTTTGAGTTTGAGACCATCGACTGCGTGTGGCTTTACCAACCAACAAGAGGAAGACGGCGCAAAAGACTACCTACACGACGCAGCGAACGCGTAGCGAATCAGGAGTAACGACTAGCTTAAGCTCGTAAAAATTAAAACACGAACTTGAAATGTCGCGATAACCAACCCATTGCACCAGATAAAACTCTAAATAATGAATTCAACGCTTGGCGTAGTGGCGTTCTACATCGTAGAACTCTTCGCTCCTTCCGCTTGAGCAGGACGTTGCGCCGTGCCTTCTGCAGCATCAGTCTCATCGATACGTGCGTCGGCAGTTAGTTCTGGAGGAGAATGCGCATTTGACGGACAACGTGCTGTTGGACCAGGAGTGTACCGGTATCTGTGTGCTGTGAGTATAGTGGGTGTTTATGACAGATTGTGTGTAATTAGAGGGTGTTCTCCTTTTAAACAAGAGTTTATCGATACTTTTAATATTTCATAACAAGCAACGTCAGTAGTATTTCATCAGTTTCCCACTTTCCACCTTAAATCTCTGCCGGTGCGGTTAGCACAAATCCCCCGTTCCTCTGTCTTCTCTTGACAGCAACCATGGCTAGTGCCCACAGAATCACCGCCCAGAGCATCCAGAGCACCGACAGGAGCATGAAGTTCTTGAGTCTGTGAGCTATAAAACTTACCTGCGTGTCGAGCGCCAGTGCATTGCAGTCTGCCAGTGTCCGGTGCCCCCATCTACGAGCCACCGTCCACTGCCAGTGTCTGCAAAGACACATCCCAAGGACACTCATGCGCCTGGCAGTGCAGCTTGCGGCTGCACTACAACCGGCTACACTGAGTACACATGCGTGCAATGGCGAAGGACTATACCAAGGACTGTATGCACAAGGACATCGTTGGCTGTGCGCTGCCAAGATGGTGTACTCAAACGAGAGTGCATTTATCTAGAGTTTAGTATTGACTTATTTGCTATTTGTATACTAATCTACTTTTGCGGTACAGCGGTGTTCTGGCGGAGGCTGCTCCACACTTTGCGTTTTGACGCCTGCCGCTCACCAGAGAGCAGCAGAGAAGAGCAGCCTCGCCAGACACCGCAGTCCTGTCGCGGCCTTTTGCCTGGCACTTACGTGCTTACGTTACTTCCTGATTAGTTTCCTAAAGTTGACATTTAAGCGTATTTACATTTAAATGGCTCCTACTCTTAGAAGCGATCGACACATGGAGAACAATCCCCCCGTGACGAACCCTACGTCACCACTGGTTATGAGCCCAATCAGGGCGCAGTCTGCGACTGATGTGGCT